ACCAGATCAGCTTTCACCGTGGACGAAGCGGAGTCCAGCACGGGGTCGTCACATGTGGTTGCCGCAAGCCCTCCGAACACTCCTTCGTCGAATCACTCTAGGCCCCGGCCTCTGCTCACTCTAGCCCTCCGGCCGTTCCTCGCCACCGCTCACTCTAGGCCACCGTGTGTGACGCTGTGTTTTGTTGTGATGACCCCTTTAAGAGAGAAAAGCGGGAAAGGGTCACGTGCCGGGATTCGAACTCGAATCAACTGAAGCATGTTGTCGTGAACCTGTTGATGATTACGTAATCACAGAATCTTTATGTTTCAAATTTTGCCTTGAAGGAAATGTACAGATTACAGCAAGACAGTATTACATAGTCATGGTGAGTAATTGTGCCAGGTGCAGCTTGTCTTTTTGCACGTACACACTTGCCATCTATATGTGCAGCATTACTTCACTCCATGTTTATTTTTTCCTGTAAATGGTCCAAGACATTTTTCCCTTTAATATTTTTCTGCATTTTGTGATCATTCCACATTAGGTAGATTAGGACACTTACAAATTGTAGTTAGTAACGTAATCTATATTACACATTTTTAGTAGGATCAATGTATTCTGAGAACTGTTTGATTACTTTTAGATTACTTTTAACCTAACTCGTTTATCACATAGATTTGAATAAGATTATTTTGTAGCATATTGATACCATATTGAAATAAAATGTATTTGGGAATTAGGGAGAATCAATAAATGATTAATACACTGAACAAAATTATAAACGCAAAACACTTTTGTTTTTGCCCCCATTTTTCATGAGCTGAACTCAAAGATCTAAGACTTTTTCTATGTACACAAAAGGCCTATTTCTCTCAAATATTGTTCACAAATCTGTCTAAATCTGTGTTAGTGAGCACTTCTCCTTTGACGAGATAATCCATCCACCTCACAGGTGTGGCATATCAAGATGCTGATTAGACAGCATGATTATTGCACAGGTGTGCCTTAGGCTGGCCACAATAAAAGGCCACTCTAAAATGTGCAGTTTTACTGTATTGGGGGGTCCGGGGGGGTCCGAAAACCAGTCAGTATCTGGTGTGACCACCATTTGCCTCACGCAGTGCAACACATCTCCTTCACATAGAGTTGATCAGGTTGTTGATTGTGGCCTGTGGAATGTTGGTCACGACTGACAAAAATAAAAGTGTTCGCGCGAGCAGGTGAGGAATGATCATGCGCGCGCGAGGCCTTATATTGCGCGCAGAGGACGTCACGCGCGCGCGATGGTTTGAAATGAGCTCGCGGGCTCCCGTTTCCTCGCGTGTAAATCTGTTTTCCTCTCGCGGAATTGATTTACCCCGCGCGCCAGCATCAGTGGTGCGCTCGGTTATTAATGCCATAGAATTGCCGCCATAGAGTTCAGCTCATGACAAATGGGGGCAACAACAAAAGTGTTTCGTTTATAATTTTGTTCAGTGTAATTTACTGCCATTGAGTGATTAACATGTGATCAAAACCATAAACACAGTATTTAACTTGGAACAATCAAACAAACCTAAATTATAATACAAATTATTAGTCCGTATCCGTATTTTTATGTTTAGGTAAACTTTCTCTTGAAGGAAATGTACAGATGTAATCACAACACTGTAAAGCATGATGGTAAACCAGTAATAATAATAATAATCCTATACCAGCAATAAAAAAATCCTTACCAAACTATAAGTAGTAAGCTAAATAAAAGAGAGAAAAAAAGAATTAGGGAGAATCAATAAATAAGTTATTTTAAGTGAATAACATGTAATCAAATCCATAAACACAGTATTTAGCTTGCAACAATCAAACACACTTAAAATTATAATACAAATGATTAGTCCACCATCTGGGTTAAATACTATTTACTCTCTTGTGAACCGTGTCATGGATTGATATCCCAGAAAAGTGAAAACACTGTGACTCTGGTGTTTGAACATCCCGACAGGCTCAACAAAAGAAAAAAATGAAGCAGTCTATGGCACATTTTCATTTGGTTCCTCTTGAGTAGCTGAAATGAATAGTTGATCTCTCAATAGGAATCTCAACTGAAAGTCTTTGCTGCACATCTGCAAAATTCAATATTGCAATGCAATATTGTGCAGTACTAGTGTTTCTACTTCATGTCCAACCTTTGTGCATCAAAATCTTGTTTTCGTGTTGGAGCCAATTGATTGTTTCATTTTCAAAATTTCCAGCATGAATGCTGTTCTCATATGAAGTCAAGATTTTTTCAAAATAATGATGCCAGATTCCATCACTCGTAGCTCCAAACCCAAACACATTCACCTGTAAGAGAAAGAGTTATCAATGCATTAATAGTTTATGTGACATTGCCAAGAAAAGCTTATGCTTATATATATATATATAGACAGAGAGAGACAGAGAGAGAGAGAGAGAGAGAGAGAGAGAGAATAATAATATAGGCCTGTATATATAGGCGCGCCCTTAATAATGACAGCAATGCCAGGCCATACAGAACGGGAGTTTTACCTCGTCACAGATGTGAAGAGCGAATATCAGTGTTAAGAAACCAGTGGATGGATATAAGCCATGCCCTTCTGCCCAGTTATCATAGACATATCTTATGAATTCTGGGTGGAGGATCATCACCTAAAAACAACCGACAGAAATAAATCAGGACATTTATGAAACATGCATTTCTAATATCATGTTTTGAGTCAACAATATCAAGATTTCAATCAGATAATGTTAGTAAACCATACAAATTCAAACAAATCAGCATTTATTATTTAATTGATTGGTTGATTTCATGAGGAGGTTTGTGTTATTCACCTTGTCCTTATTTGCTTTGATTGTAGATGGCACTTCGGTGTATGTTCTGTAACAGAATATGTAACAGTTATCAACAAACAATAGCTGCGTGTCGGGTTTCCATCCAAAGTTGCGAATTTAACTTATGCGCAAAATTGGAATATCACATAAAACATTTGCGAACAAGCACTGTTTCCATCCAACGAGTCAGAGAGATCAAAATCGTCACTTCCTGATAAACTGGCACTAAATATCACTAAGAAAAGTAAGAGAACCCACTGAATATAGCCTAATAATTCTCAAATATAATAAATTACTTGCGCTTTGAGTGAGCGCTTTGACGAAACACAATAAATGCGGTCTTGCTTTCGGAGGTGAATGTCAGCTGTTTGGGAACGCAGTTGTGGTAGACTGTTCTGGGAGGCATTATACAGAACTTTGACGACAGACTTTGCTCAGGTACTTCAGAATGACATGACAACGTTTCAGATGCTGTGCAACTAAATCGGTCCGCTGGTTAGTCAGGTTATGCTGTCCCATAGCGCAAAGTCACATGACTTTTTTTTGAACGCTCATGCGGGATTTATTCGCAAAATGCATTGCCATCTCCCATTATTCGCATTAACCATTTTTTGCACAAGTCAAAAACCACCTCAAGCGGGCGTAAAAACGTTTTTTTGCGAATTAAGGGATTTCTTTTCGAAATTTGGCGTTTCCATCACTCGTTTCTCATGCAATACTTCAAAATGCGCATTAAAACAGGGTGATGGAAACATCCCAGCAAACAGGGGACGTCCCCCGGACGTTTCGAACGTCTAGGTCCGCAGTATGTCCGCTTTGTAACGTTCGGAGGACGTCCGGATTTGGTCCGCTGTGTAACGTTTGCTGGCGGACGTTTTGAGGACGTCCACTTACGTCCGGTTTTGGTTTTGATACATTGTAAAATATGAAGTTAATGTTAAATTAATAATTGTTATTTCTGGAAAATGAAAATAGGAGTAACTTCTGTAATTAAAAATGTCATCAAATCAGGAGTCTGTTTTCAGCATTTAAACATCAAAATCATGATACCCTTCAATAATATAATTGAACATATAGGCTACAATTAGGTTTATGCACTCCCCATGCATGAAGAAAATAAGGTTGCATCCCAGGAGCTCTACAAGAATGTTATAGAGTGATTAATGCAGCCAAGGAAAACACGAAGACAAGAAAGTGGAAAATAACACAGGTAAGACAAATAAATTAATTCTTTCCATTTACATATTAAACTGTTGGTAAGCCGACAAGAAAAGTTATTTAGGAAAATTATTATTTTAGTTATTGCATTTAAGACTGCTATACCATGTGCAGCTCAAAAAATAAAAGTAATGTAGCCGATGTCCCAATGTGGCTATAAGCAAGCGTCGATCAAATGAGCACATGATCGAATGACATCACTTTAGGGCACGCAGCATATGTATCCATGGCAACACTCAGCTGCGTAGTGACAGTTAACGGTCCTCTGTGTTCCTCAGACACGGCCTTGAGTTTTCGCTTTCGTTGGTCGAAAAGGTATTTATACTTTTATATTTGTAGACATTAGCTACCGTAACCACTGTGTATCTCGTAATGCTTACATTTTATGAAAAGTTTACCTTTTTAAACGTTTGCTGAAGTTGTCCCGTACGGCTGCTGACGTTAGCCTAAGTGAACACTTTCGAAGCTAATGTTAGCATGTAAAGCTGAAATGATTAAACGCATGTAATATTGACAGTTATTTAACTTAAATATTGAATTTCCATATGGTAAAAATACACACTGATACGCCTATATGCGGCAAAAAGGCCTATGTGCGCTAAATTTCGGACCGCTTGGTCTAAATCCAAATGTGTTCATTTTGTTGTTTTAGGTTAGAAGACAATGGGAAGAATTGCCATCGGACTAACCACAGCTGACAACCAGAGACGCACACACACACACGGAAAGAGCACCGCAACTTTACAATTGTTCAATTAAAATAAACGTATTTTGCTCCATACAACGTGTCTGTTGTCTTTGATTAGCCTAAAAGTAACATAACATAACATTCAGAGGACTTAAAGCGAAAGTCCCCTAAACGTCCCGAATGGCCGCTGCACGTCCTGTGAACGTCCCCTTCAACGTCCGGAGGACGTCTTCGCGAACGTCCGCTCGACGTAAAAGGGGACGTTCGCAGAGGCCATTTAGGGGACGTCCTGGGGACCTTTTTTTGTTAGCTGGGATGTGATGTTTTTAGAGGTGAAGGCACAAAACGTTCCTTTGAACTGGCTCTAAGTCAAACTTTTTTTTGTAGCGTGAATTTATTTTCAACTTCTAGCAACAACATTCTCTGTTTAATACAACTATGATGTGCCATATAAGACACATTAAGCTAAACATTTAATCTAAGTACATTCACGTTTAGCAAACACTTTTATTCAAAGCAACTTGCAAATGAGGCACGTGAGAAATTATAGTCTGCCCCGACCCAGATTCCACTCCACAATAGATGTTCGATCATGCTCATTTCCCAACAGTGGGTTGGCAGAACTTCATTAACAAACAGACCACAGCTGTGTTGACGGGACAACTTCATTTACATTAAGGGAAGTAAACTGTAACTGTATAAAAGGTTTGAGCTTAGGATGTTCTGGGTTGATTCCGACTCCATTGAACCCCAAGGTACTACGTTAGGGTGACCATACGTGCCACTTTCCCAGGACGCGTCCTTGCCAGGATTTGTTTTTTCCTGTTTTCATGCTTGCTGAAGGTAATGATCGAAAAGTAGTTTGACCAATAACATGCATAACATGCA